CATTGGTTTCAGAGGAGATGTTGTTTATGTTAAAAGTTGACGACGCACGACGCACGGCGCACGACACACGACGCACGACGCACGACGACGGACGACGGACACAGGGCGATCACAATAGCTCAGCCTGAGCATTGCTCAGGTGAGCTAAAAATGATGATAACAACAGTATTATTGTCATTACAAAATAAACACAAATAGCAACCTATAAAATCTTCACATTACATGTTATTGATAAGTGAACTCATTGTAAAAAAAAACGATATTCGTATACGTGAAAGTAAATCATTTTCTCTTGAGTTGATTTCTTCCTATTCATAGACATGTACGGTGATTTTGAATTACTTATACTTGTGCATGGGATACCAAAAAAAAAAGCATTCGAAAAAAAATAAAATTACAAATTCAGTTTCTCTTGAAGAGTCGAGCATCATTAATTTTAATTCTTTCAATGTATTTTATACAATACATTGATTGACTGCTACTAAAATGTGATGTTTATCTGTTATTCGTTATCATGTTTACATAATTGTTGCATATTGTTATACCAATACTTCATATTTTCTATCATGTAAATATATATAACGTGATTTGTTTTCTAGTGTCACACTCATAACTTTTATATTATGTTTGGCTGTAAGACTTTTACCTCGTTTAACAAATTCTCTTAAGAAATACAAACACCGCCTTAATTGAGTAATACTACAATTTGCTAGTGTTGCACTATTTATTGGTCCTTTAATTAAATTACTTTCTTCGAACATAAAGTAAAATGTAATTCGTGTCATTTACATTCTCCTTACAATGTTTTTGTAGTATCTAATCTCAATGACTTTTTGTTGACAACTTAGGCTTTGATGGCGTCCTTTATCTAAAAGATAAATGTACCCACAAACTAAAAGAATAATGACGAGCTTGTACATTTTGCATAGATCTAACAGTAAAGCGTTTAGATAAAACGAATGGTGTTAATTGAAAAAATGAATAGAATACATCGACACTACCTTTTCCGTACGTAGAATAGAAATACTATTTTCAGAGCGGTGTCGACATCTGTCATTAAGATATTCTTATTTTTTGAGCACTATATAAATTGTACGTTGCTCGTCGTCCTAAATCATGTAATGTATTGTTCTCGAGATATATAGTGCCCAAACAGATCAAGTGATAGTGCGAATAAATGAAACTGACATTATTTGAATCAATTGTATATCTGTGTTTTGATGTTTGGATCTTTTGATTTAAATATCAATTTCTTTTATTTAGAGCTTTTTTACATAACACACTTTGTTCTATGACGATTATATATCAATTTACAAGTTTAAATACACTATTTCAAGATCTAACATGGCCATAAACTATTGCTTTTTTAAAAATGTTCTGGTTACATTTGCCTCTTGTAAAAATCGTTGAACATTATTAAGCCAGCATAGCGACATTAAAACGTATGGATTTATTATTCCTAAGTCGTACCACAACTTTCATGACGAAGGTTTTTTTTTAAAAAAGAACATAGCCACAGTAGTATAGTATCAAGAGGACAACCAAAAATAAAATATGTTATTTACTTAAAACAGCATGCCAACAAATACATGCTAATTTTCATAAAAATTTTGAAAAAGCATTTAAAAGTAAGTTATTGTGAATTGATAAAAACAAATATTTACACGTTGTAAACTTTCATTACAATCCACGATGCGGTGCTAATAACGCAGAAGAAATATTGTGATAAATACAGCTAAACTTCTCATTAAATGCAAAAAAGACTCTTAGTACTCGAATCTTTATTTATTTTATTTTTTTCTTCAAATCTTATGCTCATCTGGAGTCATGCAGCTCTAAAGTCTATCAGATGCATATATAAGTTATTTTTATTTTAAATGATAAAACCGGAACTATGTATTGTAAGCCTTCCATTTATGAAGCGGTTAGAATAAACAATCTTTATAAATAATAAACTTGTTTTAACTATTAACTAAGTATTTTATGTATAAATGACACGCCTTTAAAAACATAACATTGCGGGACATTATTGTCAGCATAGCGACAGTAAACGGTCTCGGAAGTGATATACCTTTATTGATATAATACTCTTTTACACATACAATATAAAATCGTTACTTCTTGTTATTAAGAAATGCTAACTGTGTCGATATCTGATTTAAAATGTAACTTCGAATCGATTCAATTCTATACGCATTGAATTCAGTTTGATACAATTAAAGGCCTACTGTTTTATGAGATGAGAACCGGATGTATGATAACTGACGTACTAATGACTAAAGCATTGTACAATGACACTTTTAAAACAAGTAATTTATCGGATAAATCAATGAAATCGGTTAGTTATTGTTTAAAACGGTTTATATATGTTGAATTAAAGCTATAGTTCTATGATGGACATGAAAACAATGTAAATATTGTTTACTTTTTCAATAAATTTGTTTACTTCATGTTTGAACATTTATTCTGCACAAGGGCTACGGACGTCGAGATCGTCGTCCTTTTCCGAGTTAAATTATGATTATGTCGATGGTTGTGGTTCAAACATGTAACTAACGCTGGTCCACAAATGGATCACCATCAGCGACTTTTTTGATTATGTTAACCCACAATATGTACGTAGATGCAAATAATGTTACAAGAATCACTGCAAAATAGGGTTATAATAATCTATATGTTACATAGGGATATATGTACGTTGCTTGCGGTTTTAGGTCTCATCTGTATAACAGGTAGCAACTCATGCATGTGAGAGTCTGGACTTTGTAAGGGTTATTGTACAGTTACGCGTACATTATGAAAAAAAAAACACACTAACTTCGTTCTACATTATCAAATATTAAAATCGTTACGTTAACCAATGACCTTACACGAGAAGTATTTTTTCTTGACATACAAAATATATAATCAAGTTAAAGTAATGTCCGGGTGAATTTACAGCGATGGAAACGTTAGAATAAAAAAATGACATATTTTAATTTACTTTATTATAATAGCACACTTTTGTTTCATGTGCAAACAAGTTTAGATAATGATGTCGTATACTGAAATACGAAAAATGTGACTGAAATGAAAATTATATATGCCTCGTATGAAAACTCTCAAGAAATGTGTTTGTATATATAAGTATATATAAGAAATTAGGAACAAAATGTTATGACATCAGTGAGAAACAAGTTTTACAAATAAAACCTAGTCTCAAAGTATCTCTTGATGAATGTGTTATGATACTGTGCATAAATGAACTTAGAGTATCTCCTATTTCACCAGCCTTTTGTTTGCAAATTGTTAATTATTTCATAGTTGAAGTGGACGTAACATTTAATAGTATCACACTTCCAAATAAATTGGCGTTATATTTGATACGATTTATAATTAAAATAAAGATAAAAAAATGATAAAGAGTGTTGTCCTTTTTTAGCGTCAGCCGAGCGATAATCAGATATATTGATCACTATATCTGACAGAAATTGCAACAAACACAATAAGTCAATAGACAGAATGTGGTAACGCATTCAAAGATGACTTTAAATGTGTTTGAATTTCACAGGATTATCAGCACATAATTACAGTTGAAATCTTCTGATCCATATGCTTTCTTTCAAGTGTTGATATTATTGGTAAAACGAAACTTTCTGTTAGACTTATTAAGACTTTTAAATTTTCCAGCATATCATTTTAATGTTAAACATAACATAAAATATCGTGTTTAGATTATGACTTATTTACGATTTATTCTTAAACACTCATATCACGATTGATATTTGCTATTGATTGTAAATATTAACTTATTTGTTGAGTGTTTTCTTTTCAATGAATCGTATCCTTCATCTTTTAATAAAGCGACATGAAGATTTATATATACTTTATCTGAATTAAGGTAATTTATAACACGTTTCTATTGAAATGTTTCCCTAAATTTAATTACTGTTAACATTGTTGCCCCGATCATCTGATATATTATTTTATTATTCGTGTGGCTACATATTATGAGCGACACTACTTGTTTAATAATGTTGGGACAACCTAAGTAAGTGCTAGTTAGCGTGAGAGACGTCATACAGCTAAAGAAGGTATAAAAAAACGGAGAAAAAGAAATGCATTACCGCATCAAATTATAGAGCACTCACTGATGTTTTTTGTTTTAATAGGTGCATCACGAGGCACGGTGTTTACATATGTGGTTGAAATAATCAAGTTAAAAATATCAATTGACATGGTACTCGCACGGGAAAAGTATGTTAGATTTTGTATACGAAAAAAAGAGTAGCTAAATGCGTATTTTCCGAGCCAGAGTTCCATTTTTATGTAATAATCGCGCTTTTATTTGTGGCATTACAACTGCAGAAACAATCGGACTTTAAATCTTGCGCTTTGAAAGCATCTATGTGTCCGATATTTACGAAAGAAGATAGGTTGACTATTTTGTACTTATTACTAAAATATTGATGAAATAAAATGCGTATAATTTTGTTTTGCTTATTTTAACAATGAAAAAAAAACCAAATCTTGCAGAGTATCATATGTTTCGTATTTTCACTCATGTCTTGCAGTGCTATTTTGTTCAGAATCCAGCCAATACACATACTTCAATGGTAAGTCTTTTGGATCGAAATGTCAAAAAAGGTATGTGATAAATATAATATAACAGAAAGGCAAGTTTATTTTTTATAAAAAAAACAAACAAAAAACAACAAAGTTCTGCTACTTAGCTCTTAATTGGACTAACGTATACGAACGGGATACACACGTTTAATAAATAACTTATTTCAATTTGATCGAAATCAATTTGAAAACTGGTTTTGCAAAGTTTGAAACATTTTGTCGCATGTTTTTAGTAATCGATTAAGAAACGGTACTTTCAATATAATAATATTAAAATTGAATAATGTTTAATGTCACACTGTTCTGACATATCATACCGGCGTATTGATAATGTCACTTTAAACACGGGATTGCATTTAGTATGCTAAAAAATACATACTAAATATTCTGTTTAAATCTTAATTATAAAGCAAATCATTAGAAACGAGCAACGCTAAAAATACTAAATACTTACAGAACAACATCGCACGTGATTCGATCGCCGACTTTCCATGCATCACCAGATTTTTTATCGGATTTGCTTTCTGTATACACCCTTAAAATAAATTATAATTGACATATTTAAATAAACAAATATGGTATTTATAGTCCTGTTAATCAATTTCGTAGAAATGAAAACACAGCTATCTAAGACTCTTAACTCTAAGCAATGCTTAATGGGAGGAAGGTTTTTGTCCATAATATTTTACATTGTTACTGGATTAAAATACATTGTTGTTAGTAGTTAGTTCACAGTTATATTTTTTGTCAATTAAGCCCATGATTGTGTGTGTTAATAAGAGGATTATCTAGTTTATAAACAAATAACTTTATGCATAGTGAATACAATTGTGACAAACTACAATCAGATTATGTTAATACTTTGATCATGACTGAACATTAATTGAAATCCAAGTAAAAGTTATATGTATGCGAATAGAGTTTCAACAATTTTGTAATAACTGTGATATTCGTTTTTGCTCAATTACATACCGTGTAATACATACATACATTTGACCGTGGATAAATATTCTATTAATTTCACGGGTTGTGTATGCTTTTGTTATTACCGATACCATAACATAATTTACATGGTTTTGATAAATAAAACCAGTTTGACACGATAGGCATACTGTGGCGTTAAAATTACATATCTAAAGAAAACACATCCTTAATGAAGACATTAACATCGTATGACACCTACTGAAAATGCAACAAACATACACAATGCAAGCGCCTGGTGTAAAATAATCTAGCACGCGAACATTCTTTCCATCTTTATGAGTGGATATTAAAGTAAAACGTTACGTGTATGCAATATTTATCTTGAATTCCATTGAGGTCCAAAAACCTAGAGACATGATATCCACTATTCTTTCAAGGATCAGTTTGGACACTTTATACAGAAAGATAAGGATCAGTTTGGGCACTTTATACAGAAAGATATGCAAAACAATTTAGGAATATTTTCAGAAATAAATTGGAAATCGTATTTCTTAGGAAGATTAAGCTCGATTTGAGTTAGAAGCGTTGCAACGCATTTCGGTTAGGGCCATTTTTATAATACGAATTATTATTCTGGAAAACTGAGCTACAATTTTGCACATAAGTCATTGCTCTAAACATACATCAAAGAAAAACCTTATTTTCGACCAACCATGTCATATTTGAATTCCTTTAGTATCACTTATCATTTTAAGGCTCCCGTTTATAAAATTGCAAACGCATAGTTTCTTTCTCATGTTACAGCCTTGTAATCCGTTATCTATATGCAAATTTATGCAATTCACAATTAACATGGTACAGTATGCCATTAATATACTATATTAAACGTTTTACTGAGATATCCATCGACAAATTAAATACGAAACTGTTTTTAAACGATGGTTTAATACCTTAAAACAAAATGCACAATCAAAATCATGTTCATTTTGCATTGTTTAAGTAGAAAAATAATGCAATTCGATAATTTTAAATATATCGTACTGATATTTGACGGCATTTGACGGCTATAAGATGGATTAAAATATGCTGTTAAACTAGCGTAAACTTAAGAAAAGTGATATACTCAAACACAAATGTGGTCGTATTGTTCATTTGTATGAGCATATCAGACACTTATCTTGTTTTATTTCAGCCAATAATTGTCGGGAAAAATGTTTAAGATAACAAATAAAATTCATATAAACTATATGCATGTATGAAATATCAACATTGTGTTATACATATTAAGCCAAAGGACTTAAGATTTATTTTCTACATGAAATAACTATAGACCCGGACTAAATCTTTTCTGATTTTGATTTACATATGTTTTAATTTTAAAAGAGGTTTTGCCCGGTTGTTCCTTCTTGAGCCTACGTTCCTGCAGTTAAATTGTACTACAATTTTCCTTTTGTAGTGAAATTCATTTTGAATGAATATTTAGCGTGTAAATTGTATTCAATTGTTGTCGCTTTCTAATTGTTATCAATTTTCAAAAATAAAGATTAAATCTTTACTATTCTAATGTAATCTTACGATCATCAATTCGTGATATTTATTTTACCACTGCCAGTTCAATAAAATTGAATCATAATATTTTTAGTAAAATGATACATTTTTACTCCTATTTAGAATGCTGATAAAATATCATTATGGTTACAAGTAACAAAGAAAATGAACGTAATTATGAATTAGTTTATCTACAGAGTGAAAAATAAAACGCTTCTATTTATTATTTTAATTGCCGATGTTCGTTATGATTATCATTTATAATTCATCAAACCAGTAAACTTGTATATTGTCTTTACAAAGATTTGTACCTTATTACGTGTAAAATCTTGTATACAGTCTTACAAAGATTTGAAATAGAAAACTTGCATTTAGTTTAAAGACAGATTTGATTGTTATTCATATTGAGAACTGAATTAACATATTTTTTATTACAGTTAAAATGTTGAAGATGACATTGAATGTCCTTTCATCATAGGGTATACGAAGGATAATCCAAAATAACGTTAACTTGTTGACTACACACGGGCGGTCTAAATTGTGTAAACCATACATTAAAAAACAACAACAACAAAAAAACAACAGCAGAGCATTCAAATAATAAAACAAGATAGACATATAATAAATTGAGTACAAAAAGAAAGCGCCCGTACGATTCTATAACAATAGTAACACAAATGCGTCACATGCAGATTTTGCAAAACTTGTTTAGAAACATACATCACAATTCAAGAACAAAATGGGAGAAACACAAAATGAAGCAATATCAGTTTAGTCTACTGATACTTTTACATGAAAGTTTGACGTTATATGAATTGTGCGATTTAATAACAATAATTATCATAGTGTGGTGTTACCATTGTTCCTAGTTTGGGAATGTTGTTAACAGACGGACGGGAAATCCGTAAAAGGTTTAGTCCTGTCATTATAATGTACAAATATCACAATTCACTGTAAAGATCATTGATAAAATTAAATTGTAATATACAGTGAAAAAATAAACTAACCGGTTTTCTGACGGTAAGGGGCAGCCGAGGCCGTGTAAGAAAGACAGAATAGGACGTGACAAAAGTTGACAATCAAAGAACTGACTGAGCGTTCAGACTTCATATATCGGATATTGAAGTATGCTTTATCGATAAATTCGAATATGCCTCCAATAACTAAATATTAAATTATTATGCAAACCTACATAAAGAGTGTACAGTGTGTTGAAAACATTAATTGTGGTTTTCCTTTAATTGAAATTTAAATTAGTGCACACTTTGAAACGTTTTATATAAACAAAATGTCCATACTATCTATATAAGCAATGCTATGCGTACAGTATATATCAATTAGTGCGTATTCTCCTGACTGGTTCTGGTTTATTTTGCCTTGTATTCATCCATTAAAAAAACAGAACAAATAATCAGAAATGCGGTTCTGATCCCTTTAGAAATTATGTGAAGTAATTGTAAGGGTGTTGCATTGTATGACCAGCAAAGGTTTACAGTCATTTTCCAACAAATGATCATTGCAATGAAAATAAGTCAAATAAATTCAAATAAAAATGAACGGATGGTAGTCTGGTTCACAAGTCGCCTTTTTATTGAAAGGCGCCTAAAGCAACTACGCAAAATACGTTATGAAATGAGCGACGACGTGTTCCGGCTAGCATTGACCATCTTTTAATTGTTAGTATTTTTTCAATGACTTGTTATTTTTCTCAAATATTTTGTAAGAATTTGCTTGACGTAATTACATTAGTGATGACATTATCTTGTATACGATATGTTGAACCATATATCATTCACAACACAAGTTAACATTATTATTGATCACCTCTCGTATGATATGATGTCGCCGAATTAGTTTTTACTTTTTTCAGAATGATCCGGTGAGATTCATGACTTAAAGACAAAAGACAACTGTTACGTTTACGGTACTGATGAAAATAATTACACATTCATTTAAAATGTGTTTATCTTGTTTACGATGGGTGGACATGTACTTCCTAAATTCGGAACAAAAATGCACTGGAAGGTCTTAAATTACAAAAAAAATATTTCAAAATTAAGTATTCGATGCAGAAGGAAAACTTACATTTTAAACGTATGTGTTAACTAAATTGCAATTGTAGAACACAATTCGAATATAATACTACAGAAAAAAATGCTTATACTAGAGAAATACTGTCCAAATAGTGTAAAATAGTGTAAAAGTCTCAAACATTAATTGAAATAATAAAAAAGATTAAGTTAAACAGTCATAACATACATATAATAAGAATACGGTTTTAAAATTTCTTGGAAACGAAAACTCTCCGTTTACTTAAAACTTGCAAAACGTTCGTTCGTTACGTAAACGGAGGCTCTGGAACATGATATTTGTAGAACTATAATTGTTATTTATTGTCAACAGTAATTTTTATTCTAAATCATAATAACTGATTGAATCTTTTACTACATATGATGAATAATTATTGAATACAAGCACTAAATGCATATTCATATTTGAGGAAAATTACCGAGTGATGGGAAGAATAGTTTTGTTTTTACATGTAGAGAAACTAGTGTATGTAACTAGGATACATCTCATGTGACACATTCAAACCTTAGTCTGCTAAAGGCTTATGCTTAAACAAAACTGACACCTTATACTTTAAAATGGTCAAGAACCAAGCAAATGACACTTTTTCCAGCTAAGGTTAACTATGTCGTGCTGAATAATGTTAATTTTGTCCATATATTGCATTTTAATAATATTTTCTAAAAGGTTAATGATATGATAAAAAATTAAAAGAAACGAGTTATTTCTTTTTTATTATTATAACCTTTTTCTAAATCAATTGATGTTTATAAATTCATATTACTTTTTTCTTTCAATCATACAAACATCAGTAAGACAGAACAAAATAATACAAATTTAGACAAAACAGTTGTCGATACATACTTGCCGTCTGAATGGTATCCGAAGGAATATTTGCCTACGCCCGGTAGAAGATTGTCAGGATAGTTATCTGGCACTACACCAATAGCTAGAATATAATATATACTACATGTTCTATTTTTTAGTTTATTCAACCTATATGTACGTGATTGAAATAAAACAACAAACGTTTCCAACTCAAATTGAAAGTGTTAATAAAAACTATTCTAACTTTTCATTTATGGTGCTAAATTTCCATACAATAAGAACAAGTCATGAACAATAATTTAAATTAAACAAAAACGTGCTAGACATAGCATTGCAAGAAAGAAAAGCACGTTATATAAAATATGCTACAGTAATGTTAATATTTTTGAACACCATATACATTAATAGTATAGATGCCGTTCTATTAAAATCATAATGATGCAATCATTGATTGGTACCAGCAATACTGGAATTACTTATCAAATATCTACAAACTGACTTTACAAGCCAGTTGAATATTTACACAATAAGTATATTATTTTTACCTAACGACCCGCTTTTACCCATGCTTAATATCTCAATTTCAAAGAATGATCCCGCACGCACATTCTCCTTGAACACATACAATCCAATAGCATTACTTCCGTATGCGGCATAACTGTAAAAAATAAATGTGAAGACGTATTATTATACTGCATACATTTGTTACAAATCATAAGGAAAGAATTGTAACAGTTAATAATTCTGAATGCATTTGAACTGTTGTGACTTTTGTGTGTTTAACCATGTTTCTTTCGCTGGTATATCAAATATCGTTTCATTTTAGTAATTATTATTATTTGATGAAAATTCCACGTTAGTAATTTTAAAAGTTTATTTAAAGTGCTGATGATTATCTTGTTATAATAATATTCACGATGGTTTCTCTAAATTTGTAGTGGAAACCTGAAAATAGTGTTTTGAAGCAATACCCTATGTCTATATTATTCACATACATGTTTAATAAGAAACCTTTAAACTCGGTATTGCTATATTCCTTTTAAGAGCTGATATAATAAGCAAGCGGATACCATATGCATGTTCATACCCCCTTTTAACTTAATTTTATACAATCATGTGAAAGTTCTAAATCACAACATTAATAGGTGTGTCAGATTTTAATATTGTTTTATGTATTATAAAGGCATTTAAGCGTTATTTGTATTTGCATATCAAGAGTACCGTGAAAGATATATAAAATTGAATTAAGAAAAAGTCATCATTTACATTGAAGTTGTAAATATACCTGAGACATTCGCCATCTATTTTTAGATTTCTGCAAAATAGTTTCCTGTCATGTAATGGCTGTAAATGAAACACATAATTAATTGATTAACGACAATTTCATAAACAACGGTTAAATCTGTTTCAATTTTTATTTTGCAAAATCTACAAGCAAAAAGTACATGTTGTATTATTTAGTAAAACATATTTTATGTTTTAGCGTGATCTAAAATAAGCAAAACTGAAGTTAAATATACATTGATTTGAATTGAACCTTCCCGTAACCCTCTACCGCTCATTTGGTGTCTATAAGTACCCAGAGCCGTGTACATATGATGTCGTTATACGTTAGATGCAGAGATAATCTGCCCTTTTTTGTTTCAAAACTGGTTTGGAGGACGATTGTTACGACAATACGTGATTTGTTATCATCGAAAGTTGCAAGCGTTTTAAACACCCCAGCATTTTTTCAATTATTTTAAAATGGGTGGTTGTTTGAACATATTAACTTTTTTCAAGTCTTTACATAAGAAGAGTTCTGGTTAAAGAAAAGAACAATACTTTTCATTTTCATCATTTTTCTTTCTTCTTAGATTTTTTCATCTATTGATCACATGACTTTTTTGTTTTTTTACAAACCATACGAATTACTTTAGTTTTGAAGCTGACTAGTTGCATTTGAAATGTATACCTTATTTAATTAATTGATAAATCGAATGAATAAAATAAAAAAATAAATCAATTTTTAAATTATTGATGAATTCGTTTAATTAATAAATGTAGGATATCACTTATAATCGTTTATAAATGTTGACTGAATCGTACCATAAATTAACGTATAGTTATCTGAGATATATATTAACAATGATGCCAATTTGTATGCATACACTCTTTAAATATGGTCCATTTAGTTATCTAGCATTTATCTAAACAAGCAAACAAAAGGTTTAACAACTATATGCCAAAATCAAGACAATTCTGTCTGAACAAAATAATCGTAATTTATGATTTTATTTTGCTACCACGGAGACACAAAACATCGCAAATAATCAAACTTTCATACTTAATTGGTCATTTTATTATACAATAATCCAAACACTAGTTTATTTGACATATGTATATCCTAAGGAAACATTCGTTCGGCTGAAACAGTCCAGATAAATCGTTTTCGAAGAGGTGCATTGGGGTTCTAACTAGGTAAACTGGCATTAACTTTCATTTTATCTAAATGCATTTTGGAATCTATAAGCATTATTTTAAAATTAAGGGTATTTAACGGACATTCATACAATTGTATAATGACACTTTTAATTTACCGAAAGGCATTCTAATAATTGCTGGATTTATAAATGATTCTATATTTTAATTTGACAATCAAAACTGTTTTTATGATCGGGGCCTTGTTAGTACGAAAACTACAATAACACTAACTTATTATACCTAATGCCAAAATCGCCAAAAGAATATTTCAAACAACGACACATGAAAATAATTGATATAACTTTATTTATTTACCACAAAATCAAAAGGTTGTTGTCATTTATTACTTCATTGCCGTAAAAATGTGTAATTATACAGTAATTACAAGGAAAAATCTTTAGATGACACTTAATTTCATAGAGCATATTTCTGAAGAAAAAAATCATTTAAGATATTAAATAACTCACTTGAAGCTTTTGGTGCGCTACTGCCCTCGTCGTGTCTTCTCTTTCACACGCCACTGCCAATTCTTTCTCTATTACAATTACACGTTTCAAGATTAGTTAAATTTTCTTCTAGACATGTGTAAACAGTTGTATGATAATATCTTACATCGAGACGATTGAAGAACTTAAATGCTAGTAATGAAATCTGAATATGTTTGTTATGAAACTTCATTGATATGATCACCCGTGTGAGTTGAATATAATATAAAGAAAGTGAATGGTATTGAGAAATAATATCACTTACCAGTCTGTTTGGTTCTTCTTTCACTCTGTGCATGCTATATAATAAATAAAGACGCTATGTAAACGCATAATTGCCAATATTTATCATCTTATTAGATTGACTTCTTTAAATTTGAAAAGAAAACGCGACAGTTGTATTTACAGCTTTTTCAAGACAAATTCTTACCAAATACCAAGAACAACAAAAAACGTCTTATCATGATGACAAAGATTATGAATGTATCCAAGAAAAGTTCTAGTATAAGAACTAATATAACATAAACAAGTTCATGATTATACAGCTTTAGATATTAACAACCTTTTTAAATAGTTGTGAAATTATCAAATAATTATGAATAAATAAATAAATAAATAAGTAAATAATTATTCTAGTTATTTACTTTTCAATGGTTACAATGCTAAAAACATTCAGGTTTTGCATGAAATACTCTGTTTGTCTAACAACAGTTTTGTGCTCACTTTCATGTGCTCTGTACAAAGACTTATATGTAATTGTATCGGCTAATACAGTTTTGGGAATTGTGTTAAATTGTTTAATTACTACTTTGTGTGCCATTTCTCTAAGATGATAACATTCTTACCTTAGTCCGTAATTACTTCACTATACAACTTGTGGTCAATAAGCCTGTAAGAAAGTTTTTTGTTTTGCACTTTAGATTTTTTTATAATTATCTTTCTCGCTTATGTTCTTTTTGTTCGGATTGCAAGTTTAAACGTTCATTTGTAACCACTTGAACATCTCAAAATAACTATAATGAGTTTTTTAAATGAAAATTCTTATATCGACTTGCCTGAGGTAAAGGATCTTGAACTTGAGGTAAAGGATCTTGAACTTGTCTATTATCAGCCGGATTAGTTTGCCTGAATTCATCTTGATGTTGTTGAACTAAAAAGTATAAATGTTTCATATACACACTGAAGTAACTGATATCTTGTTGTTGTCTAAAAGTGTATATTAAACTCAATTGAGTATGCATGCATAATGACCTTTATGAAATGACATTACCTGATCAACGAGTGCCAAAAAAAAAACACACACACACACGCCCTTTTCATCAAACTCAACTAAAATAGAACTGGATTCCGTTAAAACGTTACTACAGATGTATTGAAATACGTAGCATTGACGACACAAGCAACGCAGTTTTAAGCATGCTCCTCTTGTTTAGATATTATTCATCATAAAATGACAATGTGTAAAAAAAATATAGAAGTAATAATGATAATAATAAAATTAAACTTACTATTTTCTGACAGTTCAATGAGCGACCCAATCACATTGCTTTCTTTAATTGATTCAGCAAGTTTTTCGTCACGCTTGAATTTATACTGAGTCACGATATTTTTCTTTTTTACAATATCAACATTTCTCTTCGTCTTTTTCAAATACGACTTTACTTGCAGAGAAGCTACGAAAAACTTGTTCGGCTGATTAATTTTTGATTCTAGCATATTATTTTGACGTGACAATTCTGCTATTAAATCGTCGGTCTGCTTCTGTAGATCGTCCATTTTTTTCTTGTCGTTCAACATAACCTCCTTTGCCTGTTTCAGAACGCTACTTTTCATTATTTGTATACGCTCAATCACATGATCTGCAAATGCCTCTACGTCACGAACAAATTGCTCATAGAATTCGGCCATCTGTTGTCTGTTGATCACAAGTAATAAGGCACTATCTTCAGCCTCTTTCTTGCATCCAGTTATGTCTTGTATGATATCTCTAGAATTTTGGCTTGTACTAAAGGCAGCAACTTTGTCCCGAATGAATTCCAACCCGCATCTTTTATGATTTAAAACGCCACATTCTCCACAGCCAACTTGGTCGTGCTTTGGACAATAAAACTTCACAAACTCTCCATCATGCTCTTGGCATGTTTCATACGTATCACCAACCATTACCTTTATCGAACTCGAATCATCGACTGATACTAAGGAATGATTTCTATTACTTTTACGCCCTTTGTGTTTCACAAAACATGAATTGCAAATGTTAACTTCACATTCTACGCAAAATCCATCTGCATAAGTTGTTATATCATAATCTTCACAGAAACTACATGGTTTGATATTTTTGTCTTTCGTCTCTCTTTGACCAGGAACTTCCATAATTTTGTAACAACACCGTACCTTTAAGTCATAAAAATAAAGTAGAATTCATTAGAAGTTAATCTTACAACAACTTGACATATAATGTATCCTTTGTATATCAATTTGTTATCTGTATATACGAACGTACCTTTATGATACATATCATTTATATTTCATGTTTATCATTACTGTAATCAAACTAAGGTAAAATTTATTAATAACCTTGCAATATATTCTTCATTTATGGAAGGAGCTTGAGGAAAATGTTTTTGTAAACCACTGAACCTCATGGTATGATTAAATGCTCAAATGAAGAAACCAGAAATAACTAATAGTTTAAAGAGGACATTTGATTTTAAAATTCGTTTGTCTTTGCTTAAATATGCTAACAAGCTATTTCTACTATTATAATTTAATTGTATAACAAAGAGAAATCTTACCTAGCACTATACAATTATTTGTTAGTCTATTTACTGTGTATATATTCAATTTATAATATAATTATGTGTTGTGATATCTGAGAGAACAAAATACATCATAAATGTATAAATATGAAGCTGCGGAACTGTTTTGATAGTTTCCTATACAATTATGGTATAAAGCTATTGTTTTGACTTATATTTAGTAAAACGGAAAAAATGTGTAAACTGTAACTAATAAGATCATCGCAATGAGAAGGAATTACATATTGAAGGACCTTTGCCCAATATATAGCAATACCTTAAAGCTGGTACCTACTTAAAAAAAAAAACATTTTGGATATTTATATTTGATATTGATGTTGTATTGAAACGCATTAGAAAACATGTATCACAATGTAATTCAATATATGACAAGCCGTTATTCGCAGTGCGGTTTGCATTGAACTACAAGCGTATATTCAATGAATCGACTATATATATGATGCGATATTAATTGAAATTTGACATGTTGACCGTGTCTCACTTGTCAAACATTGTTTTATTATATAAATCTGCCAAGATAAAAAAAAATCACAAAAAGTAAAGGGTTTAAAAAAAACCCACAAAATAATCATATTTTCATTGTAGCATGCGTAAAAACAACAACAAATTACAAAAATTAAACCGTTATAAAGGACACAACTGCAACGTTATCATGCTTTCATTATAGCTTGGGGTAAAAGACGTAAACACGTTGACAACACCCTCCCGAAAGTCAATTAAATTTATACACGTCGGTTCGCTTTTACTTTTAACTGATATATATGTCATTGAAAAAAAACAACATATTTTTATGTGCACGCTTATAATAAACAGTTTACGGATTATGAGACTCATTCTTATTTTAGATTTATTTTTGAAAGTTCAATTCAGCTAGAGAAAATGATATTACACCCGGTGAATATTATATTATAGAATGCTCTGTTCACTATTGTTTGGACCGATGAGATTACAGATTAAAGATATATTTAATATATCATAATATAATCAAATGTAATCTACATAAACATTTAAAACAATCAGTCATGGTAACGATGAAGGAAATCCTTAATTAGTTAGTATACAGTACACCATCCGTAATTTATTTTATTGGAAAAATAAACAACATTGGTGATGAATATTATACAATAATTTTACATGATTGTTAATTATATATTCTTATCAATTGATTCTGCTACTCTATACACCATTGGTATGACTGAAACACTAAATTTTACTTGACTGTCACAGTATCTGCAAACATAGATTTAATACAAGGTATTGTATAAAAATGACTGACGACAGCGGCTTCTGTTTCTTAAACTACCATTATCTTCTCCCCCCTACCGGAAAAAGTCGTTATCTGAAAACAACCATGTAAGTTGTCATTTTTGTGAAATTAAAGCAGCATGGTGAACTAATTCAAAAGCAGTGAAAATGTTTTAGCTAATTCTTTAAATGAAATAAGGAAAATATATATAATTTATCCTTGATTTTTCAAAGCTTGAACATTACAGCTATATTATGTCGTAAATAAAATACTGCAGGTAACTTAATTGTCAAACGACAACTTGCGTTCCCATTTGATCTTGCAATAAATGACCGATAAATATATAAACACGGTTAAATCATAATTTTGTTAATTGAACCGTTTATATATAATAACTATAATTCTACAATGAAGTATCAAATTCATTCAAACGTTGTTGTTAAAGTATCAATGATAAAATAATATTTAGTTATATAAAGTATTGTAATAATTGTTGATACATTCCGGTTTGATAACCCAATTTATATTAACGATTATATTGTTTATAATTGTGCATTCATCATGCAATTTTTGAAACAAACATTTTATAACTTGGAAGTAAATGTAAACAGTCAAGTGGACATAAATACAATTTAATCGATAAAAAACATGATAATGTGTCTGCCAGTTGAAAATAAAACCATCAGTTTATATACACACGTAAAACATATTCAAACTAAGATAACTACGTCAGTTATATTGGTGTAGATCTTAAATAAAACATGAATACAATTTAATCGATAAAAACATGATAATGTGTCTGTCAGTTGAAAATAAAACCATCAGTATATATACATACGTAAAACATATTCAAATTAAGATAACTCCGCAAGTCTTATTGGCCTTGAACTTAAATTTATCATAAAGTAAACACTAATTATAATCGAAATTGAAGTATTTACGAATGTAAGAAATGTTGAAAGTAAAGTATAACCTTAAAATTATTTCGAATAGCTATTTTGTATAACAACTTGTGTGCGTTATCACTTATACATCCGCTAAATACGTTCAATAAAAATCACTGATATACCTCAAGCCTTTAGAACCTATGTTAATAAAATCGATTTTAAACTTAGTTAAACTTTGTGAAAACACTCCACACCAGGTATTTTGACGATATGGTTACCTGAAACCGGTTATTATACAAACACTATTTTCTTCCGGGTTTATTGAAACGTTTTATCCAATAAATGTTAAGTTACCGGTGATTAATAATGCATGTGCATATTTTACGTACACAGTGAACAATTTTAGAATATGAACACAATAGTTCAATGCTCTTTTATGTGGATTAAAAATGTAAATAGCAATGCAAATAAGTCATTGTTATAATGGTATTGATAACCATACCTTAGCGTATGTTCATTACTATGCCTTCACAGAAAGTCCTTATAATATAGAGCTTGATATGAGATGTATATAATAAGAAAGAATTATGATGTTAAACATTATCACCAACTGATGACTTAAAGTGGTCTTGTTGTATTTCTTGCATGTATAAACATGTCTGTGTTCTTTCATTTTTGATTTTATAGATAATAATAATTTATAAAGTATCATCCGAGGTCATTTTTCCTAAATTTTGAATAATGTACTAACCGTCTTTAAAGTATAATAGAACAACCATACTTCAGATAACAGTGAGGTTGGATTGTAAAACATTTTTAAAATCAACTGACTGACACGTCTACAAATTGTCCACATTTTAGATACCTATCAAAGTATCACAAGTCATGTAAGTTGTTATATTACACAATAAAAAGATATAGTACAACTGTCTATAGAATGTAATTACACTTTTATCAATACAAGTATTTTTTTTACACTAAAAACACAATAACCCGTCTAAATAACTATTTAAATTAACAACACACTGGGTCGTTCAATGTTGATATACCTGAAGTTAAAAAATTATGATATTGACTAAAATTATGTTTGGTTTAAGATAATTTTGAAAATATTCTCGGTTGATAGACTATTGTGCTATACAATCATCAAGGCTATATTAAATCAGTATAATGTTTTATATAGATTGCAAAAAGTAAAAAAAAAATAAACAATATCTAAAAATATCAAGTTTAGTTTTTAATAAACATAGCTGGGAGTCCGCTGCCTAAGGTTTATCAACTGATACTGACTATGGTCAAACTAATAAATGATTGCAAAAACATAAGTCTTTGTTTCCTTGAGCAAGAAACTTTACATTCATTGCTCTGTACTGGTTGGTTCCGGGAACAGATTCGAAAGAGTGTCTATAACCTTATAGCTTCCTACACAATTGAACTAAAATTATAACAAAACATACGTCAGCAATTCCTTACCACGCATTATATTGCAAGTCATATCAATGCAAAAATTAGTATAGCATCAATTCATTTATAATCAAAGTAAAAGTTCTTACCTGTCGCTTTATCAGTTTTAATGATATAATGATTTTTCTACGTAACCAATATACATCCACGAGGCACGAGGAATACACAACACTAATATACGTTCAGCCCTTAAAGCGTATAAGTTTAACTTTTTTATTATTTGAAATGGTTCACACATTTAATTTGCACAAATGAAACAATGTTAAACGAAGTTATAATGTTTCCTTCTTGGTTAATAGAAGCTTTTTTAAAATAAAGTCGTGAAATGTCAAATTTGACATGCTCAGATGCATTCATTTGTTTACTTTCCTCGCAATCCGATGTAAAATAGTTTTAAGAATGCAGAAATTAGTGTAACATCAATTCATTTATAATCAAAGTAAAAGTTCAACTAACACTCATCTAACATTGTATGACACCATTATTAACATTATACAATTCCTCCTCTTTGTCTTCTTTAAAGGGGTTAACATTTATAAAAGTAAACTTCACATTCTACGCAAAACCCATCCGCATATGTTGCTATGTCAAAATCTACACAGTTTTGCATTTTTGTCTTTCGTCACTTTTTGACCAGGAATTTCCATAAGTTTGTAAGAACACCGTACCTATAAGTCATGAATTGAATAAAAGGTAGCATTCATAAATACTTAATCTTAAAAGACCTTGCCATATAGTGTATCCTTTGTGTATCAACTGTTATCTATATATACAAACATACCTTTACGTATTGTTTATTATTGTTAACAATCTTTGTTACTGTCATACAATTAGTATAAAATTGATTAATAACCATGCTGCCAATTCTTTATTTATGGAAGAAGCTTGAGGACTATCTCTTTATAAGCCGCTGATCCTGTTCGTTTATGATTATATGCTCACAAAAAGAAAGCTGAAATACCTGGTATAATAAAGAGGATATTAAATTTCAAAATTCGTTTGACCAGCTTTTTTACTATTAAACTCAATTATACAACAAATGAGAAACTTACTTAGCACTATTAAATTACTTGATATTCTATTAACTGTGCATATATTCAAATTATATCTATGTGTTATGATATCTGAGAGAAACAAATGCATCAATACTGTAAAAAAACATGTTTTGATTATGTAGCTTGGAAACATATTTAATAGTTTCCTTTATATACATAGTTTAGAATTTTTGTTTTGAGTTTATATGAGTAAAACACAATAGATTTGTGTAAACTGTAAGTGGTTAGTTTGAATATACAGTGTTGCCCTCATATGATACAAAGTTAGTTGCTAGTTAAGGTAAAGGTATTCCTTAAAATAATTCAATTTGTATTCTGTTTCCGTTAAATGCAAAATAAGAATATACAAAAGATGCGAAGTTTGTATATTTTGTATTTTTACCAATTCTAAAATCAAATATATTCCATACACGAACACAATAATTCTAAAAATGCGCATTAATTAAAAAAACACACATGGAATAAAAGGAATAAAGTGGTTTTAATCTATTGAATGGCTTGTAATGATTATAAAACATACTCTCCACTTCTGCTTTCGACATTTAACACGTAAAGGAATTAATGTAAGTGAGGGACCAAGTGTATGTCCATTGTTGAAAAGTAATGGAAACATTAACATTATAATACTACTATAGTCAATTTATATCGTTTTGTATCTACTGCATAAGCATTTTATATAAAACTAAACATTGCTTAGAGGGAGGGGTACGTAGCAAAAACTCTTTATATTTTCAAGCTTTACTGGTACCGGAGGACCGGGAGCGGCCTTTGTTGCATTATTTCAGGCACAGAGGGCTCCTGTGTAAAACAAACGACGTTCTGCATGTAACTAAACATTTCGACACAAAGTGATAGAGAGTTTAGATAACAACTGTTCATTTGTGAAGTCACGTGACTATTCTATATTCTGTAATTGACTCTATCAATCAAAATATCCACGCCGATTGTAAAAAGTCATACATGTATTTCGCCGATTGTAAATAAGACATAATGTAAATCAATGATATTGAACAATTATAGTAGATATGACTCACACTTATTAAATGAGCATATTTCTAATTGCTGTGCTGAAATAAATTAACCATTCACAAGTTATATTGAAAATGTATGATAAGCAATTAATTCAAAAGATAATAATAAAAGATAATAATGATAATGATAATAATAATAATAATAATAATAATAATAATAATAATAATAATAATAATAATAGAATAATATCTTTATTTAAAGCAGGTTACACATTAAGAACATACTAAAGCAATCATATCTTATTTCCAATGTGGAATTCTGAAATAGAAAACACCAACAGGCCATGCATAGTTAGAAAAATGAATATATTATATTTAATTTTAAGAATAAGACGACTCATATTCTTTCGACAGACACTCAATAATTTGTTTAAACATATACGTATATTGCATCATTCGTTCGTTCAGTTGTTAGTTCGTTCATTCATTGATTGATTGACTGATTGATTGATTGATTCATTCATTCATTCATTCATCCATTCATTCATGCATGCAATCATTTATTCATTCATTCATTCATTCATATGAACAACAACATATGTTTTGTATTTTTCTTTAAAACACTTAAGGTAATTTTCATTACGAATACTTAGGTATATTGTTCCAAATGTTCATGCCATAATAAGAAAATGTGTCTTTAATTAATTTGTTTTAGGTCTTGTCCATAATACAATATCTTTTTGTGACCTAGACCTTAAGTTATACATTTTGTTGTCGGAAAAAGTCATCAGTTCTGTCATATAAGTCGGTGCCATGTTATTTAAAGTTTTAAAAACAAACATCGCCGTGTGATATTTACATATGTCAGGGAACGGTTACCAGTTAAGAGCTTCGATCACCCCAATGAAAAGGAATTACATATTGAAGGATCTATGTCCAATATATGTCAAAACCTAAAACATTGTACCCTATTTAAAGAAAAACTTTGGATATTTATATTTGTTTTTTTTATGTTTAAACGCATTTGAAAAACATGTATCAAATTGTAACGTAATGTATAATAAGCTGTTATTCGTAGTGCAGTTTACTGTGAATGTAAAACGTACATTCAATAATTCGAACGTATATTATTGACTGGTGCGCCATTAAATTTATTTGATGCGATATGCACCACAATTTGACATATTGACGTGGCTCACTAGTCAAAAATTGTTTTATAATATGAAAAGGCTAAGATTAAATAAAGATAACAAAAAGGAAAGAGTTTCAAGGAAATACAATAGACAACATTATCTTGTTTTCATTGTATCGTGGAGAAAAGACGCACGTAAATTTAGATCATAAAATAACAAAACTTATAATATCATATATAGATAGCTTTAAAATGAGTTTCTCCGATTGGTTAAGATGCAATTTGTCATTCAAACTATAGCGAATATCAGATATCAGAGTATATTACATGTAATTGTTTTTCTTCTAAAATAAATTTTTAAGTTAATTCAACGTTTACGTCTCTAAAAATAGATTTTATGGAAATCCAACAAAAGACGCGTGATATGTCGTGATGTCACGTCAAGTTTGTTGTTATTTTTCTGAAGTCAGACAAGTCTATTTTAGTCACCGGCGTTACATTTTGTAACGAATATTCCGAATTTAGCGTCCAAATGTCTTCATTAAAATGTCAGAGCAAAACATTGGAAAAAAGTAGACAAGGTGGAAAATGTCAATTTCCGTCAGATTCAATGGCAGATTTCATATCCCATATGAAAGGGATTTAAAGGTAATATAATTGAAAACGATAACGTTGTACCAAAACTAACAACAACAAAAACAAACAAAAAAACAACAAACAAATAAGTAATTAAAATGATAGAATTTTGAAGCCTCAATAAACCTTTAAGTGATTATATTAGCTCCTTTATGTTCCAGGCGGTTCAATTTCCAATGTCAGCTTATAACCACTACAATAACTTACCGATGAGGTCTTGTTAATTTATATATTATTTCTTAATAACCTTATAATTGTATAACATTTATTTTAATATATCTATTATTATAATATTTAATTATATCAATTCTAAAAAATAGCTTGAATGTTTTGAAATAAGTACATTATGATGCTTTAATTTATCACAAGTTTGGTTTCTGGTTATAATGGTTTAAGAAAAGGAATCGCCGTCATTCATTTTCTATACAGATATTTTACTAAAACGTTATTTTAGATGTCGTCAGTAAAAATTTGTGTTCATCTGACGTTGTGTAATAAAGTCATTCTGCACAGCGGTCTGTAAACGATAACAAATGTATAAATTTTTATCTCTACTACAATTTCTTTTATCTCCATCTATTAAATATATATTAACTGTAGAGTTAGAACGGCTTTCGTTTCGATCATTTTTGAAAACTTAATTTATATACAATGTTTTATTTTAATTACTTCGTTTTAATTTGCGTTATGAATGCTGGATAGATTGTAAAAAAAATTAAGTATCAAACTAGTAGTTACCTTGTTATCTAACTGTCCTTGTTAACTATATCTGAGCTATCAGTTTGACCTATCAATTGACTCCCTCAAAACCGAACTAATATTTACAATGATATATACATGACATGGTATAAATGTTAAATTTCAAAATAATTTGACACATTTATATGACAAACGTAAGTATTATCTGTTATTTATTGAAACATTTTAGTTTTTGAAATTAATCTAGGATACCAAAAAGTAAACTTAAATCTAAGTAATAAAAGCGTGCCTGTAAAACATCTATTCAGATGTAAGATTGAAGTACCAAATTTGAGGCAATTACATTGTCATAAAGCAAAATGGTACTATATAACTGTAATATTATTTTGTATAAATGGACGAAGCAAAAATGAACAAAATAATTTGAAATAACTAGAAAATGACAGATACACAGGCATTTAACTATTGCAACGAGAAAATAAAGTTACGCATTTGTAACACCACAAAATGAGAATAATTTGCAACCTAAACGAAAATTGTCTTTAAAGTTGAATTATCATTTCTTTTTTATGCTTGATTTTGTATCTTAACATAATAATGCCACAGACAGCTATCTGATTCAATATTTTAATTACAGAGGATTTTCAAATAATTAAATTTAGTGAACAAAATATATTATTTCTTTCATTTAAAATAAAAAATAAAC